AGCAATCTAAGGACGTCCACTGGCCATGTTGGCTGAGCAATTCTGACACGGGTTGAGGGCAGCGTTGATCCCCGAACCTGAAGTCATATCTGATGGCCTGCCAGGAGAATGAGAGCAAGATGCAGGAAGAGTTGAACAAGAAGGACCTCTACACCGAAGAGCTTGAGTATGGAATCAAAGAGATTCGGCTGCAAAGGCAGCAGGCTCTGAAAGAGCTGGAAATCTCTGAGAAATACGGTCTGAAGCTCTTGAAGCAGACCACTGAGTACAGGATGGTTTCAAAAGGAAACGTGATCCACTTTTGCGCGAAATGTTCCTACTATGGACGAGCGCGTGGAATCGAGCTGTGCCAAATATGCCAGACTGGAGGGACGGTGTTAGATTTCCCTGAAAGGGCAGCCAGTCAGGCATGACACGCACAAATCAAGAAGTGTACAATTGACGCCCTGAGGCTCAAGTCACAAAAGCGTGTTTTGCTTCGCATAAACTGTATAATTGAATGCCAATTAGAACTTAACAACAAAACTCATTAAACGTGCAGAAGGCTAAAGCAAAAACATGTGCTATCAACACAAATAAGCAAAACTAGTTGAAAATCAATTACTGTTAAATCAACTAAAAACACATGAGCCATATTTTCAAAAAATACAACAAAAACAATTAATTAACACTAATTGAACATCAATTAGGGTTAGTTAGAAACGCTTAAACGACAGAAGATCGAAACCCAAAAATCAAATTAAAAAAACATATCACGCAACCTTTTAACGGGGATCGCCGGGGATCGCTGAGCACCATCACTGTGTTCCATTGCGTCCCTATTTGCGGCGCTGCTTGTTTTGCAGGTGGTCCGGTGCATGGCTTCAGATTTGTTCCCCACACTAGAGGGATGGTCATGGGTTGTGTCGAATTTGTTATTAATGTGCCCGTGAACGTGAACGCGAGATGTGAAGTTGCATTTTGCTAGGGGGGTGTTGGACCTGTTGGATTCTTGCCTTGTGCGACTCGCACGGCCGCTAGAGAGGTAATGGATCAGTTTGTGGCCCCGCAGTCATGGCACCGGGGGCGTCACGGGGGGGCGGTCCGCATCGCGCGGTTGGCGCATGGCGGTGCACGCAGCTTGGCGATTTGGATGGCTTTGATTCTGACTGGGTTGATTTCGTTTGTTTGCATTCATTGCATGCAGGGTGGCTCAACAAACCACACCCATCGTATCTAGACATGATAGATGCCCTGCCCCTATTTATTACGTGTTGCAAAATGATGCACATATCATAATATCATCACATATCACATACCGCATGTCCGTTTGTGTTCGTGCATGCAGGTGGAGACGCGTTGTAGCCCCTGTCAAAGAGGACCGTGGATCCAGATGGATCCGCCGTGTTAGCTGCGGTTACCTTGTTGGGTTGCAGACGGAGTTGGACAATATGAGCGTCTTCGTTCGTGGACCAAGTTTGGACATGCATGGGTTTGACATGTTAAGACAGTAAGACAGCGGTGCCATTGGCGTCATAAGGGAGGACTTGTCGATTTGTGCTGGCGATGGCATGTTGAGGACTGGCTCAAATCGAGAGACTGACAGCCAAACTTGCAGGTGTAAGGGCGTTTGAACATGCGTTGTTGTATGGTTGAGTGAAACTGTTTCCGAGGGAACAACATTCGTTCGAAAATCAATAGTGTTGCCAAATAAACATATCATCCCATCTTGCAGCACAAATTGCACACGCATGCCCTTTGCCATCCCACATGGCATACAGTCGCCGTGGCCGATTCTAGAGATGGAAGTCTCAAAAAACAATGGACACTGTCTACTTTCGAAAAACCAAACGCCGCCGAGTGGTGGAATCTTCGTCCGATGGCGAGGCCCCAGAGAAGGTGCCAGAAAAGGTGCCCGAAAAAAACAGTGAAAACGACCCAAGTACAGTCCAACCAACATGTTCACAAGAGGCAAGTATTCATACTCAGGATTGCAAGTTGTTTCAGCTCGCACCCGATCCTGAAGACGTCCATCCAAATACTTCGAGGCCAGAAACGGTCCCAGGTGAGCAGGCTCCAAGCTTGGAGCGGCCTGCAGGGCCAGAGCGTACAGTCCAAGCAACATGTGCACCAAAGGCAAATATTCCTTCTCCGGATTGCAAGTTGTTTGAACTTGCGCCCAAGCCCGAGGACGTCCGTCGAGACACTTCAAAGCCAGAAGTGGTTTTAAGTGAGCAGGCTCTGAGCATGGAGCGGCCTGCAGAGCCAGAGCCTGCAGGGCCGTCCGAGCCACAGGCACGACAGGCACTGGCGGCAGACACGGAGATGCCAGTAAATGATAAAAAACGTGATCACAAGGTGCTTCATGCCGCGAGGGCATGGTTGAAAGCGCCAGTGCGAAAAGCTGACCCGGCTATGGCGGAACGATATGCAGCTTTGAGTGGGTTAACCAAGAAAGAAACCTCAGAATTTGTGGAGGCCAATCTAAACAGAAAGGCTGGTCAATGGTGTTTCAGGGTCGTGGATGAGCGTATCAACGCTCGGAAAAGAGAGCAAGCAAGCATCATTGTGACCACTGCCGAGACTTTTCAGCCCCAACCTGGGGAAAGCTGCAGCGGTCCCGAAAATGCTGTGGAGAAAGAGTCCGTCGTGGTTCACTCTGACAGCTCGAAACCAACTCCCGATTTTCCTTTGAGACTGGAGCGCCCGAAATCCACATGTTTCACTTCGTCACCTGAAGTTCCTGAAGCGCCTGGGGCTGATGCTGCCGAACCTTCCCAGTCCGAAGTACCTCAAGTGCCTTTGGTGCCACGGAAAGGTCGAGGCCGTGGCCGAGGGAGCCGTGGGCCTCGAAAACCCAAGTCGCCAGCTTTGCAGCCGGCCCCCGCGCCCGCGCCCGACGCGTTCGACGTGCCCGACGCCCCTGCGGCGCCGTTCTCGGAGCTCTCCTGCTTGGACGCGCCGAGCCCATCCGGCCCTGCGCGGCGGAGATTTGCACCCTTGCGGCCCGGCACGCGGAAGGGGCAGCCCACGCATTGGGCCCCCCCAGCAGCCGTGGTGGATCAACAACCGCAGCGCGGAGCTTGCCGCCACAGCAGTGTCAGCAAGAAAGGCTGTGCCATGGTTTGCGATGCATGTGGTGAAGAACTCCTGTACGATGGGTGGAAGTTGGAACACATGGATGAACTTGATATTTACAACCCAATGACCTGAAGTGAAGGGATTTTTCTACCCTTGCTCCCATTGTTGTAGCTCCATGGTGTCCGAAAGCTGGACCACCGGCCAAGTGGCAGGCAAAAAGATGCCGCGCGTGAGTGGTCTGTTTATTTTTTATTACTATTTTTTTTCTCTCTCTCTCTCTCTCTCTCGCTGTTTTTTTTCTATATCTCTCTCTCTCTCTCTCGCTCTTCCTCTCCCTTTCTATTTGCATTCTTTTTGCCAGATCATTTCAGGTATTTGTGAAACATCATTTGGAATGAGATTTGATCACTCATTGAGTTGTAGCAGTAGCTGGTAGCTAGTGACCAGTGAGGTGTGTTGTGCCAATGTTTGTCACATGGAGTGAGCATGTGGGGCTTTTGCAATTTTTGTAGCACTGCCAGGAGCTGCATTTCCATGGATGTGGAAGAAGCGCATAACAAAGAGAAGCCTGGAGCTTTGCTGATTGCAAGTAGGGCTCTTTACATACTTCAGCATCGGTGAGACTTCGGGCAAGCATAAGCAAGGATGACTGACATGCCACTGGTTTCTTTGCGAGCAGGTTCCGAGGGAAGCTGTACATTCTGAGTGAGGACTCTGCCTGGCAAGAAGCCGGCATTGGGCATGCGCACGGGGACCCTGACATGCTGTAGATCGGGTGTCATGGAGGGAAGGGGTGCTCCACCTCAGACAATGCCATTGTATATAGGTTCATCAGAATGTTGGGAAAGGAGTGGGCCGATTCTCGAAGAGGTGGGCAATCCGTGCATTCACGCCCAGTTGGAGTCGTCTGAGGATTGTAGAAATGAATTATTGAACGATGACTTATTCTTTTACATCTATTACCGTACTACACTGGAATAAGAAAAGATTACCTTATTCTTTTACGATTACTTATTCTCTTTTTCACATCGCTGCGAATGCAGGTCAGTCATCGGCACTGGTGCGAACCGCCGCCTGCAGTTTAAGGATGAAGATAGCTGAGCGCTGAGCAGATGGTTTTGTATGATACACTTGGACGGGTAGTTGGTATGTCAAAGTTAAGCTCTAAAACCCTCCAGAAATACCAGCAAAGTTCTAAAGCTAGCCGCAAAACCAGGAAATGACCATATTTTGCGGGCTTTGTCACCGCATACTGCTGTGAAGACGCTTCCAACACTTTCCACGACCGGCACCTGAGGTGGAAAGGTTTTGCACGACCGCCCGGTCTTTGCTTCAGATGTCTATCAGCTCCAGGGGGAAGGCCGACCCAGCTGTGGCAAGAATCAGGATGAATCAGGATTTGGCCATGGTCCATTCAACCTCCTTCCTGTCATGGCTTGGGACCGATTTGTTCGACCTAAGAGAGTGCGTATCAGGTCAGGGGCATAGCGACTGGACATGGCGTGAATACAGGAAGAGACGATTCAGTGAGTCTGTATCATTTATATTTTGAACTGATCACGAAAGCTAGCGAAGCTAGCTGGAGTTACTCTTGCGATAGCAAGGTTTCTTTCGACCGGGTGCAAATCCTAACCCCTGATTTTTCAGGTCGAAGCCCCCCCCCCCCCCCCCCCCCATCCATGCTTAACCCCCCCCCCCCCCTTTACCCCCCCCCCCCTTTTGGCGATTTGAAGAAAAAGTAAATAAGGCCTTAATAAGGCCTTAATCAGGCCTTAATAAGGCCTTAATGCAAAAGAACAAGAAAATAAGCCTGGATTAAGGAATTAAGGCTGATTTAAGCTTGAATCGGGTCTAATTCTGAAAGATTAAACAAAACATGGATTGGGGAATTAAGGCTGATTTAAGCTTGAATCGGGTCTAATTCCGGCCTAGTTCCTACCCGTAATACCTTGTTTCCAGCCTTAATTCCTTGCAAATTTCACATTAAATCGTTAATTCAGCCACAATGCAGCCTTAATTCAGCCTCAATTCCTTAATGCAGCCTTAATTCCTTAACGCAGCCTTAATTCCTTAACGCAGCCTTAATTCAGCCTTAATTCAGCCTTAATTCCTTAACGCAGCCTTAATTCAGCCT